AGGGATAGCAGGTAAGGTTTACTAATAAAGTAAAAAGAGTGAACCAATAAAGTAAAATTTTGATGCTTTAAATCCTTAGAAGAATATTACTTATTGGAGCACGAAGCTAAGCAATGTGTAGCAGAAAAGAAACAGGTCTGATTCGCGCAGTACAAACAAATAAAAAAAGTAAAGGAATAGAATGCAAAGTCATCCTGCTTATATTTAAAAAGAATAAAAAAAATAAATCTTTTTTTATAGGTCAATTTTTCTAGGTTAAACCTACAGCGAATAATTATATAACTCCTTCGGTCTACGGGGCCCTAGTTAAACTTAAAAAAGACATAATGAGTGCTTTTTCCTCCGGAGCCCTAGTGAAAGGTAAAATCTCAAATTAAAAATTATAAGAATAGGCCTGTACACAAATAATTAATTTTCTTTTTTAAGTCCTTTAATCCGTTTTTCTCCTTCCCTGAAGCTGCGAAGCAGGAAAGAAGCCAGGCTCAGGAGTTCTTCTCCCCTTTCCTTTTTAAATAGGAGGGATAAGGTAATAGAAAATATTTTTAATATTTTATAGTTTAACTTTAAAGATTTAAACTATCAAGAGAAATAGAACGTAATATGCAATCTTGCCTGTTTTTGGCTCTAAAAAAATCCTTTTTTTTTTTTATCTGCGGAGAAACTACCAATTTTTCAAGTTAAAGCCATTATTTTTTTTTTCTGAGTATTAAGCAGAAGCAGCTCCTTTTTTTATTTTTAGATTAGAAACATAAATTTACTATGATTATAAATAAGCGAAACCGTTAAATTTTACAGCCTCCCTAGTTTTTAGCTGCTATGCTTAAAATTTTTAGTAAATTTAAACTATGTGAAAGTTTGTTAGAGGAGGTAATATTAAGGGAACTGTCCTATTTTTATCTTTTTATTTTATCCTTCCCCAGGCCTTCGGAGTAAAGCACCCCCTTCGTAGGAGCCTGTTTATGTAAGTAAAAAGATTAGAATAAACCGCCATCCTTCGAATTAAAAAAGGAGGGCTGTAATACTAAATTTAAAATTTGTGAATTTCGGAGACCTGCTATTTTCTACCAGATAGGCAGGTAAAAGAACTAAAATTAACAATTAAAGTTTTACTAGTCTTTTTTAACGTTATAAACTTGTAACTGGACTAAAAAGTAGGAAGAAGAAAAGAAGTATTTGGAACTCTTTAAAGTAAAATTAAAAAATGGAGCGTTACTTACTTCACCCCCGCCTCTATAAAACCTAGGTAAGAGTGCTTCTTTCTCTAGCTTACCTCAAAAAAAGGACAGAACAGGAGGGTCAGGAGATATCGCTACGCGGTTCGCGTTATTTATGACTCGGAGTCGCTATGCTGAAAAATAAAAAGATTAGGCGCTGGAGTATTGCACCTGCTCTCCTACACCAGCGAAGCAGTAGAGGAGTGCTTCTTTTCTCCGGATCAGAGAGGAGAAGAATAGCTAACTATGCAGAAGTATTCCTTAATATTATCTTGTTGTTCTAAAAAGAGGAGCAGCTATAGTTTGGAAGAAAAGTTTCGCTCGCAGGTATTACTAAAAATATTAAAGAAGCATACGTAGGACAACTTTTATTTAACTTTTTTGGACTAAAAATGACAACAACTCTTTTTTTAAATTCTTTAGCTTTAGGTACTCTATTAACTAGTGTATTTACTATCACATCTATAAATCCAGTTATTTCTGTAATTCTTTTAATAGCTACTTTTGTTCAAGCATCTTTATACTTAATTTTTATAGGTATTAATTTTGTGGGTCTTTCTTATATTATAGTATATGTAGGTGCTATCGCTGTATTATTCTTATTTGTAATTATGATGATAGATATTAATATATCTGAACTTCAAGAAACAGGAGATCAATTTACCAAAAATATACCTTTAGCTATTTGTATAGTAATTTTATTTATTTTTATTTTTTTTAATATCATTCCTTTATTTATAAATCTACCTATAAATTCTTCTTTATTCATAGAAATAAATAAGAGCTATTTAAATAATATAGATTCTTTACTTTTAGGACAACAATATATAACCGAAAACTTAATTTTAGCTTTAGATTTATATTCAAAAAATATTAATCTAACTTCTGACCTAACCTTGACTTCAATGAGTCAAATTACAAGTTTAGGTCACTCTCTATATATAAATGACGCCGTTTTACTGATAACTCTAAGTGTTATATTATTATTAGCTATGTTTGCTACTATTATTATATCTAGAACTAAAAATAAATAAATTTATTTTTAATCCCCGATTTATTTTTTATAAAATAAAAATAAAAAATATCAAAAACCAGACACTTTAACAGAGGGACCCTCCCACCTTTAACCCCCTTCAGGCTATTAGGGTAGCAGGGGGGGGTCCGGCCGATATTCTTCTTTCGGCTAGAAGAGCTGGAGCTGATCACTGCACGTAAGAGGCAAATAAGAGGGCAAAGATTAAAAAAAAAGGACTAATAAATATCACTATCACAAGGGTTGCGAAACTAGGGGGAGCTAGAGGGGGGAAGGGAAAAAGCTAGGGCAAAAGAGCTAAAGGGAAAAAAGGAATTAGGAGTAAAAGAGGATAAATATAAAAAAAATTCTAACTTAATATTAAAAAAAATTAGTATTGGTTAAGATACCCTCAATGTCTCATTTATATTATAAATTTTTAATTTATAAAAGCTTAATTAAGCAGAGATAGTTCTTTTAATAAATTTTTCTCCTTCTTCCTTCTCTTCTCCTCTCCTCTCCTGCGAAGAGGAGAGTGCTACGGAGTCCTACGGAGTCCTACGGAGTCCTACGGAGTCCTACGGAGAGTACTATTAGAGCGATATAAAAATATAAACAAATATAAATCATGCCTCAATTAATACCATTTTTTTTCTTTAATCAATTATTATTTTCATTTATTATTTTATTTTCTATAGTTTATATCTTATCTAAATATATTTTACCTTTATTTACTTTACAACAAGTAATCAGAATTTATATCACTAAATTAAGTAAAAAAATTTAATTTTAATTTATAGATAAAAAAAAAAAAGAAATCAAGTAACTATAATTAAATACTTTTAATAATAATAACTTTAAGAGTATTTAAAACCCACCTCCCTTTTTCTCTCCGTAGGAGAGAGTCCCTACTTTAATTAGAAGGGAGCTTAGCATAAAAAGAATATCCCTAAATTGAAACCCCCTTTTTTTTAATAGTATCGAAGGAGCAGGAGAAAATAGAGTGGCCCTACTTAAGGTAAAATTATTTAAAGTTAACCTTAATTTGTCCTTAGATAAAGATAAAGATAGAAAATTATAAATACAAACTAAATAAAAGAGCTCGAAAAAAAAGTGAAGAATAAGGCCAACTTTAAAAGTGAGCTCCCGCAAGCAGGTTTTTCTTTTTCGGAATAGTTGACAATCGGAGTTCCAAGCTATCTAATGGGACTTACAATTATTCTAATACGTACTAACCTCCGGCCTTGGCTCGCCCCTATATGAAAGAGAAGAGTCCTACGGAGAGAAGAGTAGTAAAGAAGGGAAGAGTGTAGTATAATTGGTTAGTATCGTGATCTCCAAAATCATTCGTAGGTGTTCGAGTCACCTCACTCTTGTATAATAAAAATAAATCCTAACTAAATAGCCTCAATTAACATAACATTTGTATTACTAAACATATTGCTAACAAGGTACCAAAATTAGATAAATAATTGAGATTAGTAGAATTAAGATAATTTACTTTATTTTTCCCTGGCCCTTCCCGCTCTGGGGCAAAGGCTATTAAAGATTTAATTAGCTAAAATACATTGAAGAAAATAATACGAGGTTTTAGGTGATATCAAAGGAGGAGTAGTCCTCGCTCGTAATTTAAAAATTCTTACCGATTCTACAGTTGTTCATAAAGTTATTTTTAATTTGTCCTAAAATATTATTACCCCTCCTAGACCTTACCTAATTCGTGAGCGAGGGATGGGTATTTCTAGATAGTTCTCTTAAAAAAAAAAAATTTTTTTACCCTGTAAAAGGAGCCTAACCTAAAGAAAAAGAAAAAGGCTAGAGTGGCAGACTTCTAATACAGTCGAAGTATTTTTCTGAATGTTATGCCCCCTGTTAAAAAAGTACCACCTACGGGAAGTTATTTCTTTTTATTGGGTAGAGTTTATACTCTACTTCGAGGGCTAGAATTAAAAAGGAGTATATCCAAAGTTTGAGTGATATCATTGCTACGCAGGATTCGGAAGCAGAGAATCATTATCAATCAGTATATCTGAAGCGGTTATAATAATACAATAGGGTAGATTGAAAAAATTTGTTTCCTTTTTTATAAATAATAAGAATCTAATAATAATAAAGTTAAGTTAAAAGAGTCTAAATTTTATTAAAAAAAAAAAACGAGTATGCCGAAATTGGTAGCCGGGTGGGTTTTAGGTACTCATAATTATTAATTGTAAGAGTTCAAGTCTCTTTACTCGTATAAAAAAGGATAAAAGGGCATATTTCTCTTCTCTTCTCTTCTCTTCTCTTCTCTCCGTAGGACTCTTTACAGTAAATCATGCCTTTTTTAAAGCATTACTTTTCTTAGGAGCAGGAGCTGTAATACATTCATTTGCAGACCAACAAGATGTCAGAAGAATGGGAGGTTTACTGCCTATTATTCACAGATAAGTAAAGTTATAATTAAAAAGACTAGCTATTCTACTTCTAAGCTAACCTCTCCAAGGACCTATTTTTAATAAGAATAAGAATAAGAATAAGAATAAGAATAAGAATAAGTTTATTTTAAAGATTTAAAAAATAGGGCTGCTGCAGGACTATCATTTAATTTATTTTTAAATAGGGTTCATTTATCTTGTCTTCGGACTACCATTCCCTCTTGTCTGCTGCCTCCACCTTTTTAATCAGAAGAGGTAAAGATAAGTACCTTTTCAGTTATGCTCCTTCCCACCTAGACAGCCAAAGAGAAAGGACTCGGGGTTTAAAAAAATTATAAATTAACATTTTTAGTTTATTTAACATCTTTAGCTTAATTGGTAAAGCGTTTGCCTTCGAAGCAATATATTATTGGTTCGATTCCAATAAGATGTTTCCCATAAATTAACTTAAAGGGTTAGTTATAGTTTGTAATTATACACTTTAAATGAAATCCTACCTCCGGAGAAAAAATACTAAAAAGAAATTAATTCAAAAAAGACAGACTAGTTAGTAGACTAGTTAGTTAGTTAGTTTTTTTAAAGAGAAGAAAGAGAAGAGAAGAGAGAAATAGTATAAAGTTTAATTAGTCACACATATCTAATGAAAATAGCTACTTTTCTGTGGATAAACTAATTTCAAGCTATTCATACCTTTAAAGCTCCATTTTGCATTTCAATATTGGACGAGGTTACTTGCGCCAACAGTAAAAAAGCATAGGGCTCCTTTCCTGGGCTTCTTTCCTGCTTCGCAGCTTCAGGGCTGGAGAACAAAAAAAAAAATTAGGAGATATACAGGAGCTACCTTTACTTTAATTTGACCCTCGCTATGTTTTTTAAGGAGCTACGGTGTTTGGCTGCTACACGGCTACGCAGATAAGAACACTCTCTTTCTCTTTTTTAATCTTCTTTCGGTCCTAGCCCTAGCCCCTTCCATTGTTGGTTGAGGAAGGGAAAAGAAAAAATTAAATCCCAACTATAGCCTGTGGAAGAAGAGGCCGGCAATAGCGAAAAGTATAATTAAGTATAATTAGGGGGGGGGGGGGGGGGGGGGGGGTTGAAATTTTTTTTAAGTTTTTTTTTGTGTTGTAACACAATAAATATTTTTTAAAAATTCCAAATTAAGGTAAAAAAAATAAAAAAAAAAAAAAAGAGAAGGGGGGGGGGGAGGGGGAGAAAGAGGAGGGAGGGAAAAGAGGAAGGGGGGGGGGGGGGGGGGGGGGGGGGGGGGGGGGGGGGGGGGGTTATGAAGATTATTTTAAGTCTTTTGATGTAGCTACATCCATTAAAGTATTTTCACATACTCCAATTACAGGTACAATCACTAAGAACCAGGCAAAATAGAAAGCTGTTGAAAATTGCCCAATCTCCAAGTAAGGTGATTCAGGGTGTTGAGAACCAATCCACATTAAGATAATAAAATCAACAACAAAGCACCAGAAAGCTAATTTCATAGCAGGTCTAAATTTGTTTCCTCTAATTCTAGATAGATCTGTTAAAGGTAAAATTAATAAAATTAATAACGATCCAAACATCGCCAATACACCTAATAATTTATTAGGGATTGATCTTAAAATTGCATAGAAAGGTAATAAATCAGTAACAAAAAATATATTATTTTATATATTCAGAGTTTATTTTATAAAGCATATTTTTATGCATAAACTTAGATATATTGTGTCTTACCACATCCATGCTTTCTCCTCAAATATAAATTCTTTCTCCTTTTTTTATGTTTATGTATTGAACATTTCAAGCTATTTTCTCCAAACCCAAACCTGTTTTCTAAGGTACTTTTTAAACATAAAATATCTTGATTGGTAAAACCATAAGTATTTAGATGTAAAGCTTTATTTTGAATTTTTTTTTTAAAGAGAACCATCAACCATAATCCAATAAGCTAAACCTCTAGGAGTAAGTAAATCTTGTATATTTGAAGGAACTATTTTTAAACCATCTGAATTATAAAACAGATTTTTGTAATAGTTAAAACAAGGTAATGGTAATGTAGCAAAATTAACAGAACTATAACTATTATTAGCTCTCTTATCTACAAATGATTTAGTTTTAAATTTAAAATCTTGAGATAGGTAGGGTTTAAATAATTCTAATACGTGGTTAAAATAATTAAAATGTTGTATTCTTAAACTACTTTGACCATAGATAAACCTAGAATTACCTGTTAAAGATCTTTTTTGAATATGTCCAATTCCTAATAATAATCCTATAATTATTTAATTTAAAGGACTTTCAATAGTTAATTTGGATCTTTCAAGTTTAGATAGTTTTTTTATAGTTAAAGTTGAGAAATTTTGTGAACATACTAAACTTTAGAAGTTATCAAACCACATTAATTAATACATTTTAGTAAAACCTATTATTTTTCAATAACGGCTGGACTATATCTTCATCCTTACTATTTATTTACTGATTTGATAGTTATAGTAGTAAGGAGCTTCACGTGTAGTCTCTGAGGAACATACTCTTGCATTGAATATACAATTTGCTTTCCTGCTGATTGTCCATTGTAACATCTTAAATCATTATTACTTATAAGTAGATTAAGCTTTAGGAATTTCCAGCATATAGTGAAGTTAATTATTCATAAGATTACTCTTAAGCATGGCATTTATTAACATACCATTCTGGAACAATAGAAGCTGGAGTTACCATAGGGTCAGCAGGGATATAATTATCAGAGTGACCTAGTAAATTAGGATAGAAGAATACTATCACAGATAATACTAAGAAGAATGCAAAAATAGTTACAAGATCCTTAAAAATGAAATAAGGATGCATTGCGTATCTATCACCATTTGAAGTAACTCCATTTGGATTATTTGAACCGTGTACATGAAGAGCTATTAAATGTGCCACAGCTAAAGCTGCTAATAAAAACGGTAATAAATAATGTAAAGAGAAAAATCTATTTAATGTCGCGTTTGATACAGAGAAACCTCCCCAAATCAATTCTACGATATCTTGTCCAAAAACTGGAATTGCTGATAGTAAATTAGTAATTACTGTTGCCTAATCTTTGGTTTATTGTTTTAGATCTAATATTAATAAACCCCTGTACTATTCTAAACCTATGAGTTATCACAGATTGATTTTTAATCTTTAGATAGCCTTGAAATAATATATTACATTATATTATAAAGATCCCGACTGTACATTAAGCACCATTTCAGGTACCTATCAATGAGCCAGTCTGTAGCGATTTTATGTAAAACCGACGGTCTGAAACACTTATTTCCATCCTTTTCCTCCTAAAGACCTTCCTATTACTTTTGGAGCCTGCTCTTGTCCTTAAAAAAAGGAAGAGGAAAGTAATCACTAATTGCCTCTAGTTCTGTTAAAGGGTCTAGGGTAGGGAAGTTTTTGTTTTTTAACCGTATTCATTGATATCGCTTTCTCTCTTAAGCATAATTATTTCTATACATATATTGCATAATTACTAAAGAGAAAACTATAGTTTGATTTTTAAATATAGCCGTTTAATTTATAATACATAGAAGGGTGTAAATATGGTTTAACAATTTGAGCTAACAATTTCATTGAGGATTTTGAAAAGTATAAATTATATTGATTTATAGATCCAGCTTTATTAACGGATACTTTTAAGTTATATTTGTTCCTTAATATTTGTGCTAAATATTCTACTTCAATTTTAGTAAAGCTATTTGTAGCTAATTTTAAACCAGAGCTTACTTTCCCTCCGTCAACCATGAGCCAAACAGCTAAAGCTAATGGCGATAAATAATAGCCTATATCTTGAGGTATTACTTTTGTACCATTTGGATAAAAAGCCGTATGGATCCAATTAAAGCTCGTATAAGTATAAGTACTAAATCTAGAAAGATACCTTAATTTACCACCTTTACTTAATCTGGTAGTGATTGTAGGAATAGTTGCTGTACAATAACCTAATTCACTTAAATAATTATGAAACCAAAATAAATAAGGACTATTCAAGTGTTCTTGTTGAAAACAAAATCTAGTACCATGACCATGACGCTCAGCAAAAGAATCTCCTAATAAAGATCCTATTAATATACAAATAATGTCATAGTTATGAGGACCTATACGTTTAACACCCCTAGTTTTAGGTAAAATGAAAGGTATACTTAGACTATAAATATTCACGTTTGATCCTATATATAAAAACTCAAACCATTTGGGGCACATAAGTTTACCCCATAATGACATTTGACCATATGGTAACACATAACCTAAGAAAGCAATAGCCATCATAAGTATTAGGATAATTACTCCAATAGACCATACTAAAACTCTAGGGCTTTTATATGAGCTATAATATAGACCTCTTCCTACGTGCATATACACGAATATGAAGAAGAATGAAGCAACATTAGCATGTGTGTATCTAATGATCCATCCATTATTTACATCTCTCATGATATGTTCAACACTATTAAAAGCAAAATCTACATTAGGTGTATAATGCATAGCTAAAAAAGCTCCAGTTAATATTTGTATCACTAAACATACTGCTAATAAGGAACCAAAATTCCATAAATAAGTGATATTAGCAGGTTGAGGTGAATCTACTATATAAGAATTTACTAATCTAAGTAAAACGTGGGTTTTTAATATTCTCATTAATATATTTAGTATAAGCTTAAAAGCCAAAGTTATTTAATTTTTAAACTTAAATTTAAAGATAGAGACCCCGCTCCTGTTTTCCAAACCTTTCCCCTGCTCCGAAGGGTGCACCCCTTCTCCTTGATCCTGCGAAGCAGGAAAGAAGCAGGACCAAGGGTAAAGGAGGTGAGATCGGCAAGAAAAGGAGTACCTAGGGTAGGGAGGAAAGCTAAGGATAATTAAAGATTTTATTAAATAAGTAAGTTCTACTTTGATATTATATCAAAAAAAAACAATAAACATTTCTCGCCCTTTATTAAACCACAAATGGTAGGTCCTCTCCTTTCCTTTTGATAAAGAAAAAGAGAAGAGAAAACATAGCCGAACAGAGGTGGTTGCAACTACTTAGAAAACCTCCCTGCAAAGCATTCCCTACTCCTGAATCTTAAGGTAGAGGAGTGGTATAAATACCTCGAGGAATATAAGGGCGAGTACTAACAAGGAATTGCGGGGAGTATTACTTATCAGTAAACTTCGCCTACGGCTTCGGGTTATGAAGAATAAAGCTCCCAAAAGGAAGGAAATTTCACAATGGGTGATTATTAATATAATATACAAAATATAAAAAAATTAAAAAAAAATAATTTTAAATTTAAACTCTTTATTTTATTTATAAGAGCCTGTATAAAAAGAGGCTGGTAAGTTTACCCTAAAACCATAACTCCTTTGGAGTCTAGCTATTAATATTAATTCTAAAATTATCGCTGTTTCTATGATTGGCTATTAAATCTA